TAAAAATTAATGAAAAATTATAAAATTTTGAAATGATTTTGTTTTATCTCGCTTGCAGCGTTCAACCGATAATTTCAAAAATTAATCTTCTCATCAACATTAAATAAGAATTTTTTTTATTTTTCAATTTTATAAAAGTCTAACCATTAATTATAACTTTATGTTTTGAATTATAATATTATGAAATTTTTTTTAAAAAAATTTTTAATTCTTGATTAATATTTTATTTAAAATTATTGCAACATTTTATTTTAAAATCTATCAATAAAGAAGAATGATTTATGTTTTTTTAAGTAGAAAATTTATGAAAGACATTAAAAAAATTAATTAAATAAAAACTTATAATTATAAAATTTTAAAATGATTTTATTCTTCTCGGACCTATAACGTAGCATGGGCAACTAGCTAGTTATAAAAAAGCCTAAGAGATCTTGATTCTTGATCGTTCATTCACCGTAGTGTTTTTTTTCGATGCATGTTTTTTATATATAGGTTTGGGTCTGTTGGCAAGGATTGGTTACTCGTAGCATTAATTTTTATTTTATTTTATTTTTTTTTACACCGAGGCTACTACCAATTGAGAAAAGAAAGAACGATTGATGATAACGAGTTGTTTCCCTTCTATATAAATAATTTATTTTTATATTTTTTTATTATGAAATTAGGTGTGAAAATAAAAATAAAAATATATATTTTTTATTTTTACATGCAGTTTGACGATAATAGAATATAGATGATATTTTTTTTAGATTTCAGCTTGAATATATATATATATATATATATATATATATATATATATATATATATATATATATAATCGAATTTATCAAAACTAATTTTATAGTAGTTTTTATTTAAATCTATTTACTTCGATATATTCCATGTAATTTAAGTGGGTTTTTTATTTTTTTTATTTTTTTATATACTCTAAATCTGCTAAGTATATATATATATTTGTTAGAAATTAATTATATTTGCACACATAATACCAATTTATTTTTTTCATGTTCTAAAATTTATATTTTTAAATAAAATAATTTAATTAATGTTTTGAAAGAACATCTTTATTATTTGAATACAAAATTTTATACTAATATTATAAATTATTTTTTAATAAATATATATAAATCAAATAAATTTGCTCAATATATATTCAATTTACATTAATCTTCGTAAATAAAATATATGCTTGCATCATACAATTTGAATCGTTAATACTATATATATATATAATGATAGTCCGACTAAAGCGTAACACATGTATTTAACTAGTATTTATCTAAAGGAGGTGACAATAGACTTAATCAATGCATAAAACCAAATTTTCGACTATTTTCTTTTTCTTCCTCCATTTCTCCAACCAAGAACTTTTCGTAAATTGATCTATTTATATGAGAAGTTCAAAAGCAATTGTACCCAAAAAAAAAAAAAAAAAACTGAAAATCGAACCCAATCAATGACTTGTTTTCTCTCCTGTTTCTACTTTCCAAACACTCCCCACATCCGATAGAAAGGACGGAGGCCAAGTGTAACCCCCGTAAAAACCCTTATCCGTAACGCGACGTGTATTAAAATAATTCTATATATATGTATATTAAGAGTAACTATAATTCTCATTTCATCATGAGAAATTAATGCTTGAAATATGTGATTTATGTTAAATTAAAGTTATTATGCTTAAGATTATTGGTTTAATTATTAAAGAAATCAAATATGCAAAATCGATGTTTTAAGGACTATATTCTGCGTGAGTTTTGTGTGAATTATTTGAGCCCTTTAGGGTGATTTTTGGGTAAACCTTAAAGAATTAAAGTTGTTCATCTATGTGTTGCATATAACTTTATAAAATTGTATAATTTTTGGACCTAAACATTAAGAGTTATATCCATTATGGTGAGGGTTGTTCCGAAATGCATTCCGCTAGAATTTCAGGAGAAGAATTTACCCGAATCGTGTGAGATTTATTTGATGATATTAGATTGATTTTTGAGAAAAACTTAAAGAATAAAAGTTGTTTTTCTATATGTTTACTAGCTCTCTATAAAATTTCATAATTTTTGGATATATATAGAAAGATTTATGCACATTTTAGTATAGATGGGTTAGGAGGTAACACTGCTGGAATTTTGGAGGGAAAAGAAATTCGAAATTTTAAAAATGAAAATTTCTGAATTTTTATGAAAGAAATTAGTTTTATTTACTTTAATTAAGTTAATTAATGATTTTAATTAGTATAAATTTTATATAGACACCTAAGCAAATGCAATAAATGAATTTAATGCCAACTCACCCATTATGGATTCCAAAGCGACCGACTTTCCTCATGACTCACCCATAACTTTTACACATTGTCCCATTAATTTCTAACACTTATAGCTGAATGAAAGTAAGTATATATATATATATATATATATATATATATAGCAAGTGTTAAAATGAGAGAAAAATTTTAGCAACCCGTAGGTACCAAAAATTGGGAGAGAAAAGGCAAGAAAGAAAAGAAAGGAAGAAAAACGTGAGGAGAGAAAGGGAAAAAGAAAAGGAAAAGAGCTAAGGAAATTCTAATCAAACCTAAAAGAGGTAAGCATGTTTCATTTTTTTGGCTGATTAATGTCTTAAATTATTTTTTTTAAGTTATTTTGTTAGTGTTTATTTCATGGGTTGTAATAATTTTCAATGGTTATATGCTTGATGCTTGGGATAAATCTACGTATGGATGCCTTGTTGTGATGATTTATGATGTTATGATGTTTTGAAAAATATCCAAGTATGTGTGATGGGTTGGATTGAACTTGGACTAAATTTAAGTGAACTAAAACATGTTTAAAGTTGGCTTGGAATAAACTAATAAATTAGTGTTGATAAGGAGTAAATTCTGTCCGAATTTTAGGGTGCATGTTCAAGGATTTTAGGTCAATTTCTGGGTGAAACTTAAAGAATAAAAGTTGTTTATATATGTTTCAAATAACTGCCTTTAAAATTTTTTAGTCATTGGATTCGTGTACAAAGAGTTATACCCGATTTAGTATGGATAGATCTAGACAAACTACTACTAGAGCGATTGCTCCTTAAGTTTCAAAATTTGTAATTAATTGTGTACTTGGTATTTAGACCTAATTTTTTGATATGTTATAAATAAATATGTCTAGTATCTAAAATAAAATGGGTAAGATTTAATTATGTTCTGAAATTAGAAAATTATTTACTCGATTAGAAGTTGCCCGGTAATAAACCCTAAAACCAAAGAATTAGACTTGGACAAAATTAATGGGTTTGGAATAAACTAAATGAGCTTGGACTAAATAAAATGGAATTGAATAAAGTCAATAGACTTAGGATAAAGTTAATGGGCTTGGACCTTCTTTTAAATATTAACGAAACTAATTAACAATATTAATGAGCGGAGGTTGTGTTCTCACTATGAGTATCATGATTGGTATGTGAGCAACGGGTAAATTCGAGTGTGGGTTGGACCGTGAGTATGACATGAGAATGAAGGGTTGATACCCGAATTTGGTTGAATGTGATTAAATATGTCATCACGTGCATCATGTGCATAGTGGGTGGTTTAAGACAAGTCAATTGATTGAGAAATGGTTTATACTTCTAGGTTTGATAACCTAACTGGAATAAATGGGTATTAGTAGTCCAAGACTCTAGGTCGTGTGCTCGTACTATTAGACGATGGATTTTCGCTAATAGTAGTTACAACGAGGGATAATTTCGTTGTAGCAGAAGATGATCCAAGGATCATCTAGATGAAATCAAGTCGTGTGCTTGCACTCGTTAGACGATGGATTCCCGCTACACGTAGTTACAATGAGGGATAATTCGTTGTAGCAGAAGGTGATCTCGCGGACCACCCGGATGATAAATAGAGTAGATCGGCTAATACCCGTGATACCCGAGATTAAAATTTATGAGTATGGTGGGAAGTCAAAATAACATTGCATATCACGTGCATCACCCCGCTTACCGAGCTTTGGCTCACCCTATTGTTATTTTTTTTATGTCTTGACGTAAAATGGACGAGTTGGTACGGATGCGGCCGGCTCCTCCTAACCGGCTCATGTGAGGCACCATATATTAGTTTTTATTTTATCTCGTAAATTTGGGGTATGGAGTTCGTGAGAAATTGAATATTGACTCGTAATATTTTATTAATGTATTTAATTATATGATGTAAATTTTATCTTAAGGAGTTAGATACGTAATGTCGTCGTTAAAGTTTTAAGAATATCATAAGAGAACTACTTAGAGTTTATGGTATGTCGACGTAACACGCTTCGTCTAAGTACTCTACTTGGGTAATAGAAATATGACTAGGGCGGGGCGTTACACCAAGGACTTTAATTTGCATTATAACCACGCTCTCCCAAAATTGCCCTCCTTCTTCATCGATCCACAAAACACATGCACTAGTAAAATCGTAATCCCTGCAGTGTTATCATAGTCCTAACAGCAATCCAAGTACAGTTCATTAACTACACCATATTCGACCTCTATATATAAATCTCCCCAACAAGCTCTCTCTCTTTCGTCCCTCTTTCGTTCTGCCTCGGTTGTAATAAGCAAACAAATATTTTCTCTCTCTTTCTTCGTCCATGACAATTCTGAACTGATATTAGGGTTTCGAGATGGATCCGGTACATTACTGCCTCTTCTACTCATTGATTATCTCTTGAAATGCTTCACATTATAGTCTTAATCTAAGTTTATCACATTGAAAATCGATTTCTACTCCGCTTTCTCTTTATTTCTCGGAAAATTTCGATTTCTCTCTGGAAAATCTGTGTTTAGCAAGTATTTTTCAAGTTTTATCACTTGCATTTTTTATTTTTATTGTTTTTTTTCTTTCTCATTGCTAGTCATGTTCCTAAAAATAGTTTAAATGGCAGGAAATACAAAAATTCTCTCTCACCGACCTCTCGAAGCAAACAAAAACAGCTTTAAGTAAAGATCATGAGGTCCAAAACGCAGCGGTTTTGGCAACAAGCGTTATGAACTCAATATTAGAAGATAACAAACTACAACTACTATCGCTCTCAAAAAAGGTTGTAGCCGACCGTACAATAGTCCCCAAGCTGCTCCATCAGTGCTGCACCTTCGATTCTGTTGACTGCGCCACGTCACTGCTCAACGGCGAGTTCGGATCGGTGCCGGTGATAAATGAACCGGACTCAGCCGGTCTCTGGCCTCTGCACACGGCCGCAACTGCTAACGGGGCACGTTGTGTGGAGATGCTTCTTAAAAAACGCGCTCGTACGGATTTGAAGAGCAGAGATGGACGCACACTGTTAGCTCTGGAGCTGTCCTTGTGTAACACCAGGTAACAAATAAAAGAAAGCTCGTCGGTTTAGTCTTTTTGATGGACTAAAATGGAAAAAGTGTAAAAAGGTTTCGCTCTTTTTGTCCGTGTCACACAGCAGAGAAATATTACCTTGTTTAGAAATGTTGCTTTTTCTCGTTCTTTCTGCTTTCCCTTGTATTTTTTTTTTCCTTTTCATTGATTTTTTGCTTTTTTGTTACTTTAGAAACGAATTGATTTGGAATCTGGATGATAATTCGACCATTGAAGACTTGGTCGTTCAGATTAGTGAAATGGTAATGTTATTATCTTATAGAAACGTTTTGTTATGCATTGTTTGGTTACTGAGAAAGTGATAGAAAGTTATTGTTTTATGGCATTTTTCTGGATTTTAGTTATTTATATATCACGGAATTGGGTCAGATGAAGTTCAAATAGTCTAATAAATATATAAGGAAGAAGAAGTCTATTAAAATAAGATGGACAGATTTGATGATTTATTAAATGGTATGGCTCGTTTGGTTACCGAGAAAACGACAGAGAGAGACAGAAAATGATTATTTGTTGAATTTTGTGATATTTTATTAATTTATCAAGAGAGACTCAGCTTTGAGGTCTAAAGGAAGATTTATTAAAATAAAAAAATTATTCTGTTAATTTCATATATAAGCTAACAAAACAAATCTTAATTTGATGATTTTCTGCAGGATTTAACTACTCTAAAACTTCTGTCTGAGAATACGAAGGAAATCGGTGACGTGGCATTCAAAATCGCGGAAGCAGGGCGTGTGGTGGAGTTAGCTGCTCTTCTAGTAGTAGCAGCAGCTAAAATAAATGAACTGATTTTATCGGTGTATGATGCTGATTTGGGTTATAAAAAGAAGACCACAATTTATGAGGCTGTGATTAGAGGGGCTCTGGCACTTGGCCGCCCCCCGCCCTCGTTGAGGGCAGCAAAAAGGGTAACCGTTCTTAGCGAGAGGGAGCGTGCTGAGAAAAGAAAACTCTTGCTCTGTGAGATTGACTTGCTTCAGCTCTTTGGTGCCGTTGATCTCATACGTTGTACGGAAAGGAAGTCGCCGTCACCATTAGTCCGAGCTGCCCAGGTCAGAATAGGTTTTTATGTCTTCCAATCTGTTTTTTCGGCATTTTGTTTAAAATGTGGATTAGGAAATGAGAACCGGATAATGCATGCAATATTATGGTACATGGGACTCTGGGAATGGATATACATGCCCTACGAAAAGTACCTTCCAGATCCGATATTCTTAAATCATTGATTATCGAGATATGTGGGCAGTTTGTAAATCTGGGGATGCACAATGAGCAATCCCTTTGGACTCATTGGTCTTTTTGTAACACATGAGCTTTTAGACATTTGGGAGTTACTTCAGAATGGTCCCCATAAATTCCGCTTATTTTAAATTCATGGATAATGAAGCACAAAAATGATTCTGTTACCATACCCGTCTTCTTCTGTTTATACTTTTGAGAAACTATTTTCTCAATAAATATTTATCTTTTTGGTGTGTGAAGTCTATTATTGTAACATTTATTCTTCCACAATTAATAGGTTTTTTTTTCCAGTAATGTTTTCGTATATTTAAAGTGGGACTCCAATTATCAAATTGAAATTCTAGGCAGCAAGTAGAATTTTTGCAGATGAATAAAACAAATTTCAAACGAAAATATGATTAGCAACACTGCTTTGGACAAAAGAAGATCATGATATTTTGTATCAATTTGCAAATCACTATATTTTTAAACTGTATAAGTTACATGGTTTGTGTCTTTGATAGAACTGTCATTTGCATTATAACGTCATTTTATAGTGACAAATTCTTCATAATCATTATCAACTGTCCTAATTAATTTCCTTTCATTTCTCACGAGTATACTTTGCAGCTTTAGTGCATTCTGTTTCCTCCTTTTAACTTGAATTCTCCCTGTATTCAAGTTAGTCCATCAGCCTAGACAAGAATAGGTACAACAAAACTTCACGAAAAGAAAATGGGAAATTTAGCGCTCTTGTATTACATGTTAAAAACTTCAAAGAAGGGAAGCACAGTATACTATGTGATCACAAGTCCACAACATGGATTGTTATTTTCTTATGTAACCAGAGACTATTAATCATTCTCACAGGCTGGAGATGAAGCCATTATAGAGTTGCTTCTGAAGACGAACATAGACTTAAATGATGTCGATGCTGATGGACACTCTGCTCTTCATTGGTGTCTCAAGGCATATAAGCAATCTTGTCCTCAGCAGATTAAGTCTCTCTATCTCTCTCTCGCGTACAAGCACAAGCACACGCACACGCACACTTGTTTTGCTGAACTTTAAATTGCCTTCTGTTCCAGGATTATGTGGCTTCTACTGAAGCATGGTGCTCGGGTGAACCAGAAAAATAAGTTGGGGTTGACCGCGGTTCATATTGCTGCTTCCAGTGGTAATTCACAGGCACTTCAGGTATATATGTATTAGGTCTTCAGCTTACTTTTGCCGTTTTACTGTCTTCCAAGCACATCTAGCAACATATGATAGTTTCGTATATAACTGAGGTTTTTTTATCATAATGGTCATTTTTCTATGACACTGTACTGCAGGCCCTTCTATTGGAAGACCCAGATTGTATCAAGTCTATAACAGAAATGAAAGACACCCCATTATTTTTGGCTGTGAAGAATGACTATAAGGACTGTGCTGAGCTTCTATTGCACTGGGGAGCAAGCACTGGAGTCTTTAATTTGCGGTTAGAAGCAACTGACCTATTTTCATTTATTTCATCCATTTTTATTGTCTTTCTAGTCCTTATAACTCATTGCTGACGTCTTTTTGTCCTAACTATATATTATCATTCCCAGTAAACAGAGACCTGTCGACTTGGCGAAGTCACAAGACATGCGTTTCATGCTAAACAATACCGACGTCAACCTCAGTAAGTTGAAATTCTAAACACACTTGAAAGGTTAGATAGACTGACAAAATATCATAATAAAGAAGCTTTTGTCACTAATTTCGTTAATCTCATGCTTGCAATCAGCAGTAAATCGTTCCATTCAGCAGAGATATACTGCATGGTTACAAGAAGATAATGTAAGTCAAGGAACCTGCAAAGAATTCTTAACCTTGACAGATGAAGGGACTCCTACTAATAGGTGACCCCCTTGGTTAGACCCATTAAGAATCATTTGATAAAATAGTGATATTTTTAATTTATTTGGTCTCATAATTTTCCACTGCTTGTGGACAGTAGGACTTGCTCGAGTACAAACACAGAGATCTGCAAATACTTCCATCCTCCTCGTGGATGTAACGGAGGCACCATGTGCTTCTATGTACATGCTGAGGAAGAGCTACAGCAGGTGAAGCAAGGAAGATACGCGATTCATTCACCAGTTGCAGAGCAACTAGAACGGAAAATTTTTGTTGGGGGGCTCCCTCCTTCTGTAGATTCTGGTTAGAAACCAAACACATTCTTCCAATATTTGTTGAGGGGCTCCCTCCTTCTGCAACTACATAGTAGTCTTATTAACCTGAAGAATCAAGTGCTGATTTAGAAAACTAAAGAATTTCAATTTTATCTTATATTGTCTTTCTTCTGCAACTTTTTTCTGTATCAGACTCATTAGGAAAACTTTTTGAAGAGCAATTTGGTTCAGTGGACGACGCTGTAATACTTGGAGTTCAAACAGCAGATAAGATACAGTCTCGAGGATTTGGCTTTGTCATCTTCAAAGATAAGAAATCTGTGTCTGAAGCTGTTGAGGCACACCATGTTATTATTATGGGTAAGCAGGTTGCGGTCAAAAGTGCTGTTCCAAAACTCCTTCCACTAGCTGAGTCCCAGAAATTAACCCAACAATGTGAAAGAAATCAAATTGACGAGAAACTTCCACAAACACAGACGCTCAGAGAGAAAACTGTGAAGGAGATACAGAGTGAAAAGGCCAAAACTGACGTGCTTAATTGGCAGACATCAAGTGAGAAGACTGAAAAAGTGATCCTCATCAGTTGTAAGACCACAGAAGAGATTAAATCTGAGTTCAGGAATTGGGCTGATACATTAATCCATGGTCAACCGAGTGCGTGTTCTAATAAATCTCAAGCACATGAGAAAAGTATGCCTAAGTGGTTCAGAACATTCAGAAAGTGGCTCCCTAGCTTCTTGCAACAAGTAACAAGGAGGGGAGGACAATATGCTCTATCATCTGTGAAAGCTGATTTCAAGGCCGTTTTTGGTCTAGAATTAGACCATGCCTCTCTCGGCTTCTCAAAGCTTAGTGACTTCATGAAATCTATCCCTGAACTTTGTCGCATTAAGTATTACCCAACAGTCAATCATATGATACTTCTGCCTAGTCTCCCCATGCCTTGTCAGCAGCCACTTCAAGATGTTACGATGGACAATCCATCTTCTTACGCTACATCTATTGGTGATAGTGGAGATGGCAATTTTAATGGTTCCAAGTGCTATCAGGAACCTTTTCTGTTGTCCATTGAGAATGATGACTTAAATGATAGCAGCACTAGGGAGTCCTGTCAGATCATTGATGATAATTCTGAAGGTAATTCACCCTGTGTGAACTCGAGGTTTCTTCAGTTCTTGAAACGAGACCCAATCCTTCATGCTCGACCATGGGTAAATAGTGACTCCGATGGAGGCAAAGAGACCGCTGTTGGTGAAAGAGGATCGGGAAAGGGGTTTCAAGAGATCAAGCCCCGGCCTCAAGGAAGGCATTTGGTTTTACAGGCCCTGGCCAGAAAAAAGAATTGCTCATCTGTCTACTTTCTTGGAGAATTTGATTTCCATGAGGTGAGGATTCAACAAATTTGGAATTTATTCATTCAGTATTCTAAACTTCATTTTTTTTTTAAGATAACATATGCTCAAAATAATAGTGGGTGGTATTTGCAGAAATACAAGGCAAGCATCGTGCAAGGAAGGTGCTACGGGTGCACCGAGCGTCGGATGCTGTGGGCCAACTTCCCATGCTTGCACCTGTTGTGGTGTACTGATTGTAAACCACAAGCTATGATGGCAGCTCGCAACGTTGAACACACATGTGTGGTGAGTGATATCAAATTGCAGAAAATAGATTTGATATCCTGGCATAAATACTGTCAGCCCATTCATGACACAGCTTACCAACAAAATGCGAAAGTAAGGCCATGTCCCATTAATTATATTTTCCTGAAGCATATGCATTTATTTATTTTCTTTTACATTAGTTATTTGAACCAACAAAATGCTTGATCATTCCTTAATAACTTGTCTAACTTCTAATGGTTTTTCTTTTTATTCTCCCTCTGCGTCTACGTGTGCGTCCATCCAGTAAGAAATCTCTTTCACAGAAAATTAACAATCTTGTCACAGACTGTATTTCAATAGAAGAGAAAGCTGCAGTCGTGTGAAGGCCTTCACAGAGTAGCTGTCTGCTACTTGCAGCACCTAGCGAAAGGCTTATGGGTGGGACCAGTTCATCTTAGCAGCAAAAGAGAAAAGCTGTACAAAATACTATAGATCTACAAGACTGTCGTACTTTTGTGGTGAAACTAGTATGTAGTTGCCTGGGTGTTTTAAGTATATATGCTTGCCTCAGGCAAAATTTCAACACTTTCCACCATTTTGTTGATTGCCTCTTTTATCTTTCAGTCAAGAGGGAATCCATATATAGATGGATTTCAGAGTGTGTTGTTCTCCAATACAAGAATATACACTTGCTTTTACTATCCAATCGGTAACATAAATTGATTGATACTAGAACAAAGGTTGAGTTAAGGCTATAATTAATACATGGCTTGATCAAATATGTTCGAACGCTTCTTTTCCTTTGTTTGTTTCTTTTCTTTATGTTTTTTAAATAGGTAGTTATTACTTATTAGCTATTTGGGCATGTGTCTTCCCTCGTGAACAAAATATATTGCTAAAAAGAAGAAGTAAATCTCATTATTTTGATGTTTTGATTAAAATAAAATTACTTCTTTTTGTAAATGGTTCGAAGAGTATTCAAACTTTTAAACCACCTAACCAATCTCTCACGATGATTTTTTATATATAAATAAATATATGTGCTATAATTAGAGGGAGGGAATTTAGGCTTTGAATTATAGTCCAAAATTTGTAAACTTTAATTCAACAATTTAAAGTTTTTATTGAATTTATGAGCTATTAAGTATTAATAATACCTAACATAATAATTAAAAAAAAAACTCACAAAAAGAAGTTATGGGAATCTCTTTTTTTCTCCAAATGTATTTTTTATTATTATTAAGGAAATACGTGGCTTAATACATGTTTTAATGAAAATTTTCTATGAAACCACATCGAGTTGGTCTTTTTTGCAAAATGAAAAAAAAAAAAAATGTTTCCTGATCGTATGTTTTCTGATCTTAAAAACTCTGATAGACGTTAACATGATAAATGCAAGTGGTTTCACAACATTAAACATTGCATTAGTGCAGGATTGGAGAGAAAAGCATAGATATCAGGATTCCTTGCTTCAAGTAGGGACATTAAGTGCAAAACAGATCACTTCAATATTGCGTAGATTGGAAGCTATCTAGGCCATGAACTTGTGATCAAATGACCGCTTTATAACTTTATAGTTGCGATGGAGAAGCAAGTATCATAGGAGACAGTATTATCATTTGGGAGATAAGCGAAATCTGTTAATCATAGTAGCATCCCTCATTGCAACCATAGCTTTCCAAACTAGAATTAGTCCATCAAATGGTCTTTGGCAAGAGAATTTACAAGAACCAAATATCAAATGCTCATGAAACTGGGTGGTGCATAACGGCTGATAAACTTCCAACTACCTATAATAAATCTGTGATTGAGAACACTGTTGCTTTTCTAGCATCCCTTAGTGTGATCGTATTATTGATAAGTGAGTTACCTTTTAAGTGAGGTTTTCAACGTAAATTTTGATGGTAATAATCTGCACTGCAGTTACTGAATCAATATTTACTTAATTTCTATAAATTGTCTGTCTGTTCGTCAGCCGCATAGGATTTACGTTGTGGAAGTAGTTGTAATTAGTGCGGTGATGTATGGATTTGTTAAGCATTCTTCTTGTGGGGCACTATGTTTGCTTGATTCTAAGATTGTCAAGTTTGGCAGAAGGTTAATGACCTCAAGGGATCGTCGAATTCTATTAGAATAAGTCACACCGATGTTTTATCCGTACTCGATCTCTTAATTAGAATGCTAACTAATCTTACTTTCTTTATGAGTTGGTTATCTTGTTTCATTTGGTCTTTCTTTTCACCTACTTCCATATTTTGTTTCAAAATCTTTCAAAGATGATTAAAAAAATGGGTTAAGAAAAGGCTCCGAAGTAGTTTTAATTTTGATCCTAGACAAATTTTTTTATCAAAATTTTCCCTTAAGTTTTAAAAATTCTCAATTATTTTTTTCATATATATTTGATAATCTCTAAACAGAAAGTGTGACATCATTTGTTTTCAATCTCTAAATAGAAAGTGTGTCTATGCGTGTAGGGAGGATTTTCAAAATCAAATTTATGGTAAAGTTGGACGATTGTGTCAGACAAATCTGATTTTCGTGCAGTGGAAAAATTCCATATTTTGATAATGACATAATTATATTTTTAGTGTATAAAATTATCAATTTTTTTATTTCAACGTACCAAGTTTAATCTTATTATTTAAGTATATTAAGTTGTAATTTTTTTTCTATTTAAGTGATTTCGTTAATTTTCGTTAACTTAATTCTGATTTGGTCATTAATCGCATACATTACAAAAAAAAAAATGCAATTAGCAACAGAATATTCCATCACTAATTGATGAAATTCTTTGCTAATCTCTATTAGTGACGGAACAACGATGGAAAACTTTTTGTAGCCAATTCAATTGTTGCTTTTTTTTATTTTTTTTTTGCAACGGAAAATCTATTCCGTCGTAAAGTTTAGCGACGAACTTTTCGTCGCTAATCTTGTTGTGGGATCTCGTCAATTCTTTCATAACTATTCCGTAGCTATTTTCGTCTCTCAACAATGATCGAACATTCGTTGCTACATAATTTGTTGCTATTTTGTCTTTATTTCGTTGTTAATTTTGAAAATGAATTTGTCGCTAGTCTATTGTTATTTCGTTGCTAATTTTGAAAATGAATTTATCATTATTTCATCGCTTATTTTATTTTATTTTTTAATTATTAATATTGCATTTAATAATTAGCAATTATAAGTAATAACATATATATTAAAAATGAAATAATATTAACAATACCATTCTAGAGTACGTTGCATAAAAAATAAAAATAAAACAAAGTGACTAAATACCCTATAACTCATCTTGCTCTTCTAATCTCATATCCTCCTCCCGATACTATATGAGGGGCTCGATGAGAGGATCGGTTGGAGGTTGAACAAGAGGCTATGTGTAAGGAATAATAGACTCGCCGATTGACCGATGGATCTATAGGCACCTAGGTTGTTTGTGTCATTCTCATTACTAAGAATGCCATCTAGTCGTATTGAGATTTCATAGTATAAATAGTCTAATGTTGCTCCGAGATCTGGTTTTGGAGCTCATTTTGTATTACTTGCATCTCCTTCATCGCCTTTTTTAGCCTCGTAGTTCCTCCGAAGCTCTTTGTTAGCCGGTCGGCGGCATAATGTGACATCGCAAAGGAGGAGCCGTCGCCACTTGACCGAGACGAGATAATACACCGATCGTGTGCCTATACCATAAAATCTTTTTCTTCTCTCCGATAACCTCGAGGTGTATGACATTTTGGTCAACTTCGGCTCTATAATTCCCGCTATCGTTTGAGTTGCAACTCGCCTCATTGATGAGTTGCTCTATATGGTCATGTGTAATCAAAATAATAATATCATCATTACAAGATTAAAAAAAATTTAGTTTATATGTTTTTCATATTTAATATTTTAATTCAAAAACACTTACCATTGTCTTTTGGGAGCACGGATCAACGAATGAACCATCTCGTCGCTTATGAGTTGTCTTGAACAACTCAAAACTCGTTGGATGACGACCTAATTTTGCCACTTAAAAGAAAAATCCATTATAGACAATATGAGAAGAAAATTGAAATTTTATAAAATAAGTAAATAATAATAAAGAGTGTGAAATGTACTAAGCAATGGACGTGCTCTTCGAAGATATGGAGCCCTCCGTATGCCTAAAAGGACTCGTACCGGGACCACCGATCTTCGACAATTGGTTATGTGAAGCTTACTCCGAACAAGCCACACGATCGAGTCTCCCGAAATCGCTCACCATGCATCCCAAGCCTCCTAACTAATATAAATAGGCCGGTCGTTCTTCTTACTAATCCGTAGATGAGGTCGGCGTAGCGTTTCCTAACCACACCCTCTATGCAGCTTTAACAAGCACCTCGATGTCCAAATTCCAATCCAAAAATTTTTGCACGAACAAAAAAATTAATATTAACAACTTTATTTGATGAGAAATTTTTATTATAATTATAAAGAAAATTGATAATACATTATCCAAAATTCACTTAAGTAGAAGTCTTTAGTGACGTCGGTGACGAACTTCTAGGATGATCCGCCGTTGTCCGCTCGTGTCTTAAAAATTTGAAAGATCTTTATAGAATAATCTCCACTAGGTAGAGTCAAACTATTGAACAACAAAGTGATAAAAGAAATATTACAAACAACAAATGAATTATTGAAATTATATATTAAAGTAAAAAAATAATTACATATTGTCCTCGATCAATAGAAATACATCGTCGATCGAAATAGCTATGAGAACTCGTTTGGAGTGTCAAACACGCGAGTGGAAGGACCACTCTTGGAGATCAACGATAGAACCTCAAGTGTCGATGTTGGAACACCCGTCGATGCGGATGTGTTGGCTTCATGACTACGAGAGCTATGGGACCCATATAAAGGGCCTATCATTAAAGAATCACGATTGATACCGATAGGGAATCCTAGTGGACTACCATCAGATGATGATGCTTATCCATAATTATCGAAACGTGATCTAGTAGTGACTATAGGGGGATGACACAAACCATGATCACCACGAGTCATTGTTGTATGATCTAACGTTAAAAAAATAAATAAAATAAATAAAATATAACAAATATATTATTAGAGTAAATTAATAAGTAATTAAATTAAAATACATCATTTTTTATGGATACAAAACAATCAAAATACACAACGAACATTTAGTGAAGGTAGAAAAATCGATATTATTAACTACATGTAACAAATTAATAAAGAGAAAAAATTATTTCATTTCTTACTAATACAAGCAAATGAAATATAAATTTAATTAGAATTATCGTAATCATTATTTAAGTTAGCGTCTCCATCATCCAACATATTTTCACGATCGTTATAATTGTCAACTACCCCTACTTCTATATCTACAAATGATCCATTTGGATCACTCAACCAAGTGACGTCCATATAATACACCCGAGCCGAGTGAAATGGTTCAGTATTTTGTTGGATGATAGTTGATGAATCAAGAAAGTCAAACACATACCTAGCTTTGATCTTACACACAACTCACCAATCTCGATTCTCATGCCTTAAGCTAGGGTACTCCATATAATACACCTAAGTCGACCGTGATTCTAAGACAAATGGTTCGTAATTGTTTAAGGTTCTTTTATAGTTAACATCTATAAGTTTGTACTCGTAGATAAACTCTTATTGCTTGTGGTGTAAGATTGAACTAATCACATTTGAATAATACTCGTTCTCTTGATTGGTAATGTAGGATACTCTACTTCAAGAATTTCCATCGGTATCCCTTAATAGTCATTTTCAGTCGTATTGTAATTACTTCTTTTAATGCGATACATCGCTATTGAAATACCTTATTTTTAAAAATCCATCAAGTGTGCGGAACCTATAACCATTAACAAAATAACCATTGTACGATCTTACGAGTAAGCAATGAACCTTGTGCGTGATCTTTCAAGAATTGATCTTTCATGGAATTGCTTGTGCATTTTGTCTATAAATTAAACATAAAATCCCCTATAAGTTTAGTTCTCTTTCAATTAATACTATTAACAAAATAAACATATAAAATGATAATACTTATATATTGATTAAACTAGGAGGCAAACTCATTTTCAATTAGAGCATCGGTCTTATTCTCGGACATGAAGGAATTATTCAGTTGCATTTCGATAAGAAATCCACTAAAGAGAAGAGAATGAACAACAAATATGAGTTAATCTTTACTATGTTGCTAATATTATTAAATGTAATAAAATAGGTATGATATAGAATTTGAATTTTTATAAACTCACTCAATGTATGGTTTACTTCTTTACAATTCAATAATATATATTGGTGGGCCGCTTTATGTTTTCGTTGTGTCAATTTTTGTATTATGTGTCAACCAATTGGTTGACTTTACTGTTTGAATATGGATAACATCCCTTCAATGTGGTGGCTTTCTTCTCCGTCGTATCGCTCAACATTATGTGACACTTTCCAATGCCTAATATGCACACGAGACTTGAAATAATGCGAGCAAAATAAAGAGGCTTCTTTGACCAAATATCCATTGCAGATTGATCCTTCTACTTTAGGCTTATTTGTAACATTATATTTTAGCTTCCACGAGATACTTGCAAAATGAATTATTTTAACTTTTTAAAGTTAAAAATTTATTTAATTCTATATTTAAATTGATTGCAATACCTTTTAAATGGATACATCCACCGATATTACACGAGTCTTGCAATAAATGCATCATATGGCGAGATGGATTGAAAGATATTCCATGGAGTCAAAAAGGCTGGGTAGAAATATATGCTCTAGTTTATATAAAATGATGGATATCTCATCATTAAGTCACAATATATTTTCTTTCCTTATTACCGTAGAAGTCAATTGCTTAAAGAACAAACTCAACTCTATAAGTGCTTACCAAATATTTCTCGACAAAAACTCTTGAAATGCAATTGGAAGTAACCTCTATATGAAGACGTGACAGCCATAACTTTTTATCCCTTAAAGTTTATCATGTTGCATATCAACACATCTAGCTAGATTAGACACATATCCATCGAGAAACTTTAGTTATTTTTATCCATTCAAGCAATTTTGTTTTTTGTTATTTAGATAAAATAAATACAACTTTAGGATACTTTTTAGACGCATTATCCTTTGCTA